CTGTTTTTCTGTAATTTTATATCATTTTTTCTGTAATTATTTTGGAAGCAATAAACACAAAACATATACTGTCCACTCATACTGGATTTTTTGCCATGCAAGTAGTGTCGAAGTCTTTCACAAAGTCAATGACTGCAAACAGTTCTTTTTTTCGTCGTGCAGTGTCTGCATTTTGGAGTCATGAGCATATAACTAGCATAAGTAATCACATTATATTCCTTTCTGTAACTTTCACAACACAACTATGACTCTGCTATCATTGATGCTAGAGTCCAGCAGGAATTTACAATCCTGTTGTAGATATTCCAATACTGGGGCTTTTACCAAAGCACATTTCAGGGACTGGAATGCTTTCCTGCACTTTTCACTTCCACTGAAATGTGTTTCAGGCTTTGTAAGAGCCAATAAAAATGAGGCTACCATAGAGAAGTTGGTCACAAACCATCAGTAATACTACACCAAATCATGGAACTGCAGGCTTCACATTTAGTTACAGGTTGAGGCCAATCTCACACCACTGCTATTTATGCAGGATCCATGGAGGTTCCTTCTCCACCAATAATGTAACCAAGCAATTCCACTTTCGAGTGCATGAGCAAATGCTTTCTAGGTTTCAGTTTCAAGTCTGCCTGTTTTATATACTGCAATACCATTTACCAAACTCATACACATCATCCCGAGTTCTGAAAGAAGTCTTGGGCCCTTTAGTCATCTAATTCAACCTGCCTGTGTATGGACATCATATCTAAGATATTGAACCAGCAGGACCTTTCCAATGCATCCAGATGTTCGTCTATTCACGGTAGTAAAAATGAATCAACATAAATTACTGTGTTTACCCACCTAACATTAACTCAAAACCTGGGCACACCTTCTCTGTTACTGAGAATAATTACTAAGGACGTCTAAGCACTCTTTGAAGACAGTATGATTCCTATTGTGGTTGTTTCACCTTTATCTATGTGATACTGAGTGACTGTAGTTCGACTAATTGAATATCTAGTCACTGAGTTGTTGGTGCTGTGTTGAGTCTAGGTTGTTTGCACATTCTTCAACTAGCAGTTTCAGTTGTGTTGCTATGTGTGCTATAACTTTCAGACTCTGAGTGACAGACCTAACTCTAGTGATCTTGTTATCCTCAGTTACTTTCACTTTGCTCACCGTGCCAATAACCATTCCAGTTTGCAACTGGATAGCTGACTGTCTATAATTCCAGAGCAATACCAGGACTTCATTTCCTCTTGGACAGGCTGTTCAAATTAATGCTACTTGCATTCTGGATAGAAACAGCCTTTCTTGTACATGAACTTAACAATCGCCTTACATGGCATTTATGCACTAAGTATTATTTGCAGTAAATTGAGAAACATCACTTGTAAACATGGAGGCACTGCGATTTCCTCTCCAACATATACTCATGTAATCTACTGTTTCTTGGGTACTTTTAGATAGCATCGAATGTTCTTACTGTGGAACATCAGTTCAACTGGTGCAAGACAAAACTGATTGATAAGCTCCACAGCACACTCATTTAAAGAATCCCAATAGCAGAACCAAGGTCGGCAAAAGACACCTTTATTGCGTAAATGAACCCACATGAACATAGTATGAATTTTCCATCATTTTAGTGTATTTACACTCAATAGGACAAAGTTCATGTCAATTGGCCCAAGTGGGGAGTTTGCTCAGTTCTTATATACTATGAGATCTCCCAGTGTTCTGGTCACTCCTGTATCTACCAGGAACTCTACTCTTGCCCTTGTATACCAAGACCCAACCAACCCTGAAAGAACCAGGCTGACAATTACACAATATTAACTACTTTGCTCTTTGCTCTCGTTGTCATGCTGCTTGGAAAGATAAGGACAGTTCACCCAAAAGTGATCCAACACTTCGCTAGTAAAGCATGTACTTCACCACTCATGACTAGAATTATGCCTAGGTGGAAATACTGGCAGATGTTGCAGCATGTATGCCATGGGAGGACAAGGATAGCTCTGTCTATTTTCTGAAAACCGGTGTGGCGACATTGCAACTCTGGCACACATTGCTGGTTGATCCGTGGCTGGTTTCAATCCTGATATGATATGGTAGCATGGTGAAGTTATTGCAACTAATGCTACAGACTTCTTCCACTCCTACAAGTGACTCAAGGTTACCACTTCGAATATCAGTATGATTCCATCCTTTGACATTCACTTTATTTTGCCACTGGCTACTTCCTTACTACTCTAGGGAAACTTTTAGATATTTTATGAATTGACTAAAGTTACTCTGAAGATAAGTAAAATATAAAGGGTTGTAAAATGAAAGATATTGGACATATTACATACACATTTTATACTTATATATGTATACTTAATGTTAAAAGTATTGATTTACTCCAATACAATCATGTCAAGACCTCCTTTCAGTTCGAATGTTATTTGTCAAACAGTCTACGATGCAGTTTTCTTCGTCATATTTTTGTTTTTCGTTAACAATACTTACTTTGGTGGTAACGGTAAAACATCAGGGTTCGATACCTGCGGAGGCACAACGTTGATACTTCTTTGTGTAACTTTGCGCTTAACAATAATAACAAAAATAAAATGTTAACAATGTGCAAAATCGATTTACATTTTTTATATATAATACCTCATTGCAGTTACAGAGATCCATAGGCCTAACATAAATACACACACACACACACACACACACACACATATATATACAATTATAAAGATATATACGTATATATTATTCTGAGAAATCTTTTCTGTTTTCATTCACATTGTGAGATACACAGCATCTTCCTTTGTAAGTATGGCGAACTTCACAATGAATGTAGAGAGGTGTAGGAGGCAGATTAAAAGTGGGGTTGTGAGGTTCCAGGGATCGTCTTAGGGCTCCAGCAGCTTTGTGTTAAAAATTTTGTATGTTCTCCTTTCCTTGAGAGTAATTTTTAAATTTTGATGCATGTTTACTGGGACAGATTTAAAGGTGTTGGTTCCCGTTTCCTACACCAGTAACACCATTGATATAGTCGTTGTTGTGAAGCTCTACGTTTATCTGCTCTGTTACATATGTTTTCTAATCATTTTGACGATATTTTTCAAAACTTGAGAAATAATTAAAATACGTATTATATTTACATTATTTTATTTCACAACGAAGCCAAACAGCCAATGGCAGTTTCCCACGATGAAATAATGCCGGTCGATCGGTAACGATGCATGGTCTTGGAAAAAGGTTGTAAAATGCGTTGTCTGTAGCGGAGGGAAATCTACAAATGAGTAATTCGCAGTTAACACTAACGGCTACTACTGAGGTAGTAATATACACTGTGTGCCAGTACTTTTGTAGAGCGTGATATCATCAAAGATTAACTAAGTTTTATTTTCAAATTGAATGTGTAGAATTAATCACGACATTTCAATATTATTAGTACTAGTACTAATACGTGTACATCCAGTAAGAAATTTATGTTATTTTTTATTCTTTCTAAAAGTTAAAATGTAAAGATAGGTTTATATCTATAAGTTATAGTGTACTGTATAGGCTTATTCAAGTTATTGCTACTATGAATGCAAGTTAATCTTAATATACAAATTATACTTCTGACTGTCTGGAGACTGGACGTTACCTTGGCCTTTGAAACGGAGTAAACCGGATGACAAATCGTGAAACCTGATTACCTAAACGCTTTATTACATCATGATCTTCCCTGAACTTCAAAAGAAGGCGTAACATTTGTATTGAATTTGAAAACTATCGCAGTGTATCGGGCTATCGCATTTCTTATTTTGTGATTAATTTAGCTTCTAGATTTTAATCCTGTGTGATTTCTTACTTCATATAGGGATTAACGATCACGAAACGTTTATTTAAAGATGTATGGCCTATAATTCTAAGCGAGTCAAAGCGACCTTACAAATTACACTGTAATTTCCAGTGATATGTATTGAGTAGTGTTACTCTGAGTCTGAGGTACTCGTTAACTAGTAGTATGTTGCATTATTATCAATAATAATAATACTAGTATTAGGTGCTTAGCGTTTAATAATAACATATTTCTAATAAACGTACTGGACAGAAATAATTATTAATTTGTTAAGAAAAAAATTGGGAAGTTTAAAAAATGATGAATCTTTTTGACCAGATATTTCCCCAAGGACTTTTAAGTCTTTGAATGGTGGGCAGGTGCCAAACTATTGGAAGTTGGCTAATGAGAGTATGGTTGTTACTTTTCAAAGAAGGTGATAGAAAAAAAAAATGTTCCAGTAATTATAAGCCTATTACTAGTATTAGTCTTGAAAGGTTTTTGAAACCATAATAAAATATGTTTTACAAACGTAATATAGTGAAGTTTAAAATTTTGTTGGATAAATATCATGGAAAAATCTTTCTTTGACATTCTTTGAAGAGGTTACTGCTTATGTAGATGAGAATATGGGGTAGATTTAATGTATCTCTGTAGGTGTGGGAGATAGGCTGGATCATTGGATAAGAAACTGGCTGGATGGAAGAAAGCAGAGGGTTGTTATAATATAAATGGAGTTCAGTGGAACTGGATTAATGTCACAAGCGGGATACCTTAGGACTCAGTGTCAAGACCTTTGCTGTTTTTGGTTTATAAGTAACATAGATGAAGGAATGATAAATAAATTATTTAGACTTGCAAAGGTTTTAGGTGTTCTGATTGTGAGGAATATGCTACTGCTTTGCAAAAAGGATTTAGATTATTTGGTAAGTTGGACAAATAAATGTCAAATGGCTTTTAATTATAATAAAGGAGATGTATAATTTTGATGGGAATAACCTTAATAGTGTTATAGAAGAAAAATATCATGGTGTTCTAGTTGATCAGTCTCTTAAGCCATCCACACAATGTGTTGTTGCTAGTAATAGGGTAAGTAGGATTTTAGGTTGTATGTACAGAAATATTGAATACAAATATAAAGAAATAATAATCTGATTGTATATGTCATTGGTTAGGCCACATTTGGAGTATTGAGTTCAGGCTTAGGCTCCTTGCCTTAGGAAGAACATTGAATTCTTGGAAAGGATTCAGAGGAGGGCTACTAGTACTAGGATGATACTTGGGATGGAAAGGTTGTCATACGAGGATAGGTATATTGACTGTTCAAAGGTAGCATAATCATTTGTTTTTTAATTGAGGGCTAGTATGAATGGTTGGATGTAAAAAATATGTTTCGAGAATAGTTTTGAATTTTACTTTTTAGTGAAAAGGCTAAAATCTTGCACAGGGACGAGAAAACCCTGTTCAGCTATACTTAAAATTTTTTTTTACTGGTTCTCATTTAAAAAGGGTTGATAAAGTTTTACTAGGGTGGCAGAGAATAAAATGAATCTTTTTTTTGTATTTTAATACCTATATGTTAATTTTTGATACATCAGCTAACAATGACTCTCAGGAAGTTAGAAAGAGCAATATTAGAATAAAAAGTAGTCAATTTAGTTATAATGAGCCTATTCTGTTAAGCAACAAATTTCAGCTGTTGGCTTCTGCAGATGAACTATATGAGGGAAGGAAAACAAAAGGGTCAGAGTAGGATGTGGATGATAAGGAGGTTATAGTTATGGGTGATTTCTTGACAAGGCATGTGGATAGAATAGTCTGTGGTGTAAATAGGGAGAAAAGAATTGGATTATGCTCTCCAGGGGCACAGGTGGAGGATATAATTGACAGAGCAGGAGATATAATAAAGAGGTATAGCAGAGATTCAGTTTTTGTGGTGCATGTAGGGGCT